GGAATATTTTACATCAAAAAAATCTGAAATCCTATCTTGCCTTGAAAAATCGGAAGAGCTAACAACATGGGGTCTGCATCCCCACCTTATTTCTTATTTTTTCTAGTGCATGTGTCTATTTATGTTGAATCCTCATGATTTAAATAATCTGTATCTAAAATCAACAATATCTTGATAGGTTTTTCCATAATTAGATATTTCATTATTACTTCTACTGTGTTATTAATACAATGTTATAAAATGTCTCTGCACACTTTCCCATGACCACACGATTTTGGGGAGCTTTTTTTTCTCTTCTTTCATTTCTTTTTCTCCTCTAAGTGCAGTGATCTTGAAGTGATGAGATTAGTGCTTGATGAGATTAGAGGTGTGTATTTCATTTAAAATCCAGTTTGAAAATAAAGGAAAGCATGTCTACTCGTTAATATTATTCAACTCTTAAACTGTTCTTCTTATGTCTTCAGATGCTCTAAGACAGTAGTTTTCAAAGTATAATCCAGTTTAGGGAACCCTAGAGGGTCCCTGAAACACTACAGAGGGTCTATAATATCAAAACTATTTCATCATACTATGAAGGCATTTCTCTTTACTCATGAAAGTAATTTTCCAGAGGCTACATGGTGTGTGATTTTATAATAGACTGAATGCAGAAACAGATATGAGAATCTAGCTGTCGTTTTTTAACCAGAAATTAATGAAATTTGTAAAACTATGAAAGAGTATCACTCTAATTTCTAATATTTTTGTTTTAGAAAGTATAATTACTTTTATTTAAAAAATTTTATATAGGCCGGGCGCTGTGGCTCACGCCTGTAATCCTAGCTCTTGGGAGGCCGAGGCGGGCGGATTGCTCAAGGTCAGGAGTTCAAAACCAGCCTGAGCAAGAGCAAGACCCGTCTCTATATAATAGAAAGAAATTAATTGGCCAACTGATATATATATATAAAAAAAAAATTAGCCGGGCATGGTGGCGCATGCCTGTAGTCCCAGCTACCCGGGAGGCTGAGGCAGAAGGATCACTCGAGCCCAGGAGTTTGAGGTTGCTGTGAGCTAGGCTGACGCCACGGCACTCACTCTAGCCTGGGCAACAAGCGAGACTCTGTCTCAAAAATAATAAATAAAATAAAAATAAAATAATATAAATAAATAAATAATAAATAAATAAAAATGTTATATATGTTCTATGTCATGAACTTATTGGTTTTTTAATTAATATTGTTTTTAATTTCTCAGTTTTAACTACTAATACAGTAAATAGTGTTAGATATAATTCACATAAACAAAAACTCTTTGGGGTCCTCAGTAGCTTTTTTGTAATATAAAGAGTTTTTGAGACTAAAATGTTTGAGAATGTGTGCTCTAAAATAGTGCTGCTGTTTCTAATGGTTGTATCTCCTTGAAGAAGATCATACTCTGTGTTTGCCTTCTTCTTGGCTTTCTGACTTGAGATAATGTAAAGGTTAGAAATCGTATTGGTTGAAGGTGGATCTAAACAAAAATTAAATGATGACTCTTGCCATTTTGTCAGTCAAATACATTCCAATGCCTCCCCTTATGTATGTATATGATCATAACTTTGATAATCTTTGTACATTGCGTAATTGATAATAAATTATCCTGGCATGCCTTTTTAAAAGGCAAGATTATGACGTTTAGCATTTCATTGCTTTGTTTTGTTCTTAAGTTTCTTCTTCTAGTAGCACATTCTAATTATATTTTTTTCTCTAAAACCTTCCTTCTTTTTTCCAGTCTAGCCCTCCTTTATGGAGTGTCAAATGATATTTTCTTTGTTGTTTTTTTAATTTGCACTTAGAAAACAACTGTCGTTTCTGTTCAAGAAAGCCAGAATAACTTTTAGTGAGAATCTTCGTATAATCAGTGTGTTGAGTTTTAAACTAAAATTTACTAGGTCATTTCATTTGTTATTGTTATTGTGTTGCTATTTTTAGTGCCATTTTCTTCCCAAAGCAATGGAATTTCTAAATTGGGTAAGATTAGGAGGAAAAATCAATATTTTCTATTGGTCCCAAACTATGCAAACTTTAGGTATGTTCCAAAGCTACCATATGAGATGTTTTATCTTTGCTTTCAAACTCAGTTTACATCAAGATTATAGAGTATCTTCCTCATTGTGGATATGGCAGGTTTTCCCTGAGTATCATTCATGGTCGAGTGTGTCCTCTATCATTTTCTTATTTCTCCTCCCACTCTCATTACCTTCCCTTTCCATTATTCTCCCATTGTCTCCTTCATTTTTACTTTCCTCTAATTTCTTCCCTTTAATCAATCAGGTAATAAGTGCATCTCCTTGAAAATCATGTAATAGGCAAGGGTACGGGCTCTACTTCCAAATGCCTGTTTCTGAATTCCAACTGCAGTGTCTAGTTCTGACACTATAAATCTCTTAGCCTCTTTGTGCCTCAGTTTCCTCATTTGCAAAACAAATATTAGATGACTTATCATCATACAATAGCTCTATGTGAAGATTAAATGAACTAACAGGTATAAGGTATTTATAATAGAGTTTGGAATATAGTAAGTGCTTAGAACATGTAAAGATACTGTCTATAGATGATTACTACCTACTGCAATGAGTAGGCTAGACCTGATGAGACATGAGCAAAAGCAACTTTATTTTTTTACACTGTTTTGGGAAATCCACTCTGTGAATCCATTCTTCCCCTTCGTGAATAAAATTTCAAGCTATTTGCATAGTTTTTCTAATCAGTCTTGGATAAGGAAAAGACCAGAATTTTAGACTCACATCCCATTTTAAACTTCTACCCTCCCACAACTTGGACCTTAGAGATCTATAACTCATAAATACAGGGAGCTAGGGATGCTTGTTCGTTTCTTCTCTTTTTTCCTCCTCTTTTCTAACCCCTGGATGCTGTTTGTGCTCCTTCCAAGGCTGGGATGTGAGGGTGACAGTGGGAGGGAAGAGGAGGTGGAAGGTAAAGAAAGGTCCTACCTGGCTGGTACAGTTGTGGTCTGGCATTGGTGATCTCTGGGGTTGGCAGGTTACAAACACCTGTTGGTCTTTCCCTTTTAAGACATTTATGACTTCTACATAGACGCTTCCATTGCAGGTCAGTTCTCTCACCCCAGTGCCAAGGAATCGTGGTTCCTCAGCTGCCTGCTGTCACTACCCGCACGTTCTGCTTCCATTGATGCCGAGGTGGCCTCACCTGGCAGGAAACACTCCCACAGAGGGCCTCTGCAAGATGACTCATGTGTAATTCCCTCCTGCAGAGTCCACATTGGGCCCACGAGTAATGTGCATCCTTGTCCAGCTATTATCTGAGGGTAGCTGAATCTCTCCGAGGCTGTCTCCTCACTCGCTTGCTCCCACCATCCTCTCATCTTTCAGTTTTTCATGAGTGAGCCAGTTATCAGTCCCTGTTTCCCCTAATCTTTATGTGATCTTGAAGCCTCATTTCCTTAGCCCCATTATGTGGCTTGAATATAAAGGAAGGACTTCCTGCTTTCCCCATGACGTAGGAAAGGAGAAAGACTACAGCACACTGGCAGCTTTTTCTCTTAACCCAACAGAAACATGGGCAAAGGATATGAACAGGCAATTCACAGAAGAGGAAAGCTGACAGACCAAGGAGCATATGAAGAGAGCCTCTACTATATTCATAAAGAGAGAAAGACAAAGTAAACCAAACTTAAGACATAAACTTTGCACTCCAGCTCAGCACAAGTTAAAATTACAGATTTAGCAGAGATTTTAACATATACACATGCACAGTCTGCGTGAGTGAAAATTGATGGAGCCTTTTAGGGGAGTGATTTTGCAGGATGCATTAAAATAAAAGCTCTGTATACCTTTTAACCCCACCACTGGACTTGCTTCTAGGTTTCTGTCCTAGAGAAATCCCACTAGAAACACACAAATATGAAAGTGCTAGAATGTTTCTTACTGAATTACTGGTAATTTTTTTAAAAATTGAAAGCAACTGGGAATGTCCATTAAAAAGGAATATACTGAAATTAATTAATTAATTATAATACACCAAAAAAAAAAGGGGTGCAAGAGTTAAATAGAATAAGCCAAAGTGATAAGAAAGAAAGATTTTAAAGGCATATTAAGTGAAAAAAAAAGACATTATGTAAAAAAAAATTCTGTAAAAAATTCATATTAATAATACATTTAAGTAAGAAGATGCAGAAACCAGGGCTACTGCCTTGCATACATATATTCATATTTGAAAGTGCATAGAAAAAATTCAAACCAGCAATTTGAGAAAAAAGTTTAAAGCTGATGAGAGATTATTTTTATAGTGGAGGCTGGAACAGGGAGAAGAGAGGTCAGGGAGGACTTTAGCATTTACAATGAGGATATGTTGGATATGTGATTATGCATAATTTCACAAAATAATTTAAAATACAAAAACATGAGTGGAGTTGCTAGAGGTGCTATTTAAGATTCATCTCAAGTACAACTATATTAACAGTTGTATCTACTAATTCTCAGAAGAGCCTATGAGAGCATTCATCACCATCAAAGAATATTATTTATCTTATTAAGGATAGTTCTCTATAATAACTACTCACATCTAAATGTCTCCTCAAACAGTAATTATGAAGTCTTTGCTATGGTTGTAAGTTTGTAAGACCACACATACAATTATGCTTTTTAGGTAATAAACCAGACAAATTTCAATACAGAGCACCTTGACTTGATTATAATAATTTGCCAATTCCAGTTGATATGGTAATAATGCATAAAAAGAACTATAACTAATATTCTCTTAGTAGTAAATGTTTCATTCTGGGAATTGATTCTATACAATTTAAATTGTATCACATTTAGGCAACTATAAGGTATTCTTTAATGTATAGTTTAAAACATATTTTCCTTTAGGGTATTTATTTTTAAATCATAATGTATGTGTTCTTGAATCACATAACTTGTAGTTCGTAAAGAGTAAGTATAGATGTTAGAACCATAAATAGAATTACACAAATGTTACTTCATTATTTTCCTTATTTAGTACCTACATGAAAATGGAATTGTCCACCGTGATCTCAAACCAGAGAATCTTCTCTATGCAACTCCAGCCCCAGATGCACCACTCAAAATTGGTGAGAACATTTCCTGATGTTTCATAATCCCTTTTCCCAGAGCAGAAGAAATTTATTTCATGGAATTTTTTAAAATATTGGTCTATCTGGTTTTGCCTACATTCAATATCTTTGAATATCTGACATCAGTAAAGGAATATGCAGTGTTTTGGAAGTCTGTGCTCTTTTCTAGAATGTTAATCTGGACATTAGTGCCTAGAAATTGGTGCTCCATTGCTGGGCACACAAAGAAACCACAGCTCTTAGAAATGGCAAGGAGATGACCTTGTATTTTGTAGATTAATTTATAGCAAAGAAAATGACAGAAAACCTAACACTTGTTTGGGGGATATTAACTTTTATTCCACAAATTATTTGGAGCTTAATTGTAGATAATCAAGAACTTTGACATAAAATACTTAATACCTATTAGTGAATATAGGCTATGAGTCACTTGTTTATATGAACAGAGATAAATTGAGATCTATAATTCCTAAAATGCACTCCACAGAACACTTCTTCTTCAGCATGGTGAATAAGAGTGAATAAATAACTCTGTCTTTGGGGAGGTGAGAATGATCTGCATAGGTACTATGGTTGATCAAATAAGTTTAAAAATGCCAATTTAAACAAAGTTAAACAAGATTTTTGTTTCTGTAGGACTCCCCCAGAACCTTAATAATGCTAATGTGTAGACTGACATATTATTATATAGTTCACTATGAGGCTTGTCCTAAACCTTATCTGAGTCTGGAAACCTATCTTTGTTTCCCCAGTATGCATTTTGAAGAACTATAATACAAAGATGAACTTTGGGAAATTCTGATCTACTCAAAGAAACCTTTAAATTGGCATCTTAGAAAAAATATATTAAATATAGCTTTCCATGTGTCTTCCGAAGCAAATTTGCATTTATTAAAAAAAATTATAAGACTTATTTTTGATGAATTCTTCTTAGTAGAATCTGTATTAAATCCTCTGAAGGGCATTGCTTTTCTGGTGCTGTCCTTTATCGTGCTGATCTGCCAAGTTCACTGCATTTACAACTGTTAACACCTTTGAAAATTAAGTTGTTCTTATCAGGGGAGAGCTCAGACATAATGTGCTTTTATGAATGCAAGAACTCAAAAAAAAAAAAAAAAAACCCTGAAAACCCTGCTGGGCAGCCAGCTTGCTCTCATAGTCACTCCTGTAAGGCAGTGGACAGCAGGCTGTTTCCATTTCCTTTGACATCACTTTCAAAGATTTGATCCTTAAGCAATGTCTTTAAATGGATGGATAGATACTAATTTAGGCAGGAGAGGCTTTCTTTCAGAAGGGCTTCCTGCTGCTTTCACTGATAAGAATCAGGCACCTGCGTGGAAATGTGGGTTTATCTTTGAAGTCTAAAATGGAATCCATTCTGCACCTGCTTCTCTTGAAGAATGGCCTTGACCAGTTTCCTGAGGTTTCCTGAATAAGAGAGCTGTAGCCCAGCAAATAGATCATTATGGTAGCAATTTTTGATAACATTTTACCTAGGTATTATTCTGAAAAATAAATAAAAGGATTAGTCTTCATATGAGAGTAAATTCTTGTAAGTCAAATACACGAAGGACTGATATTATTTATTTTTGAGCAGAATAAACCTTTTGATGTTTCTGTTTATTCTCATGAAAGATTCTGAATTATAGCACTAATTGTGTATTGTCCCTTAAAGCTACTGTTACATAAATTTCAAAATTAATAGCATTAGACAAAATATAAATATTACTTTTAAAAAAGAGCATATTTGCTAAAGGCTGGGAATTATAGAGAAGAGCAAAGATTAAGTATAGATTTACTCATAAATGCATTTGGGAGTCATATTTTTCTCCAATTTAAAGAAACACTTGAGGCTGTGTGTCCGTGGCTCACACCTGTGATCCCAGCACTTTGGGAGGCCGAATGGGGAGGACTTCTTAAGGCCAGGAGTTCAGGACCAGCCTGGACAAAATATCCAGGCCCTGTCTGTACAAAAAATGTTAAAAACATAACCCAGGTATGGTGGTGCATGCTTGTAGTCCTAGCAACTAGGAAGGCTGAGCCAGGAGGATCAATTGAGCCCAGATGTTTGAGGTTGCAGTGAGTTATGATGATGTCACTGCTCTATAGCCAGGGCAACAGAGCGAGACCGTGTCTCAAAAAAAATAAAAATAAAATAAAATAAAGACACACTTAAATTATTTTTTTTTAGCTTCCTCAGGTAATTCATCCCACCCACATCTACCCCACTATCAAATACAAAAGCAAACAAACAAATAAATAAATTAGTTTTGGTTTGGAATAGCAAGCTCTGTCATCTTATAAAAGCTGAGAAAAGACTTGCTTCATTAAATGTTTTTTCTTGTGTTGTTAGCTGATTTTGGACTCTCTAAAATTGTGGAACATCAAGTGCTCATGAAGACAGTATGTGGAACCCCCGGGTACTGCGGTAAGCTCTTTAATACTGATTTTTTACTGTTATTGTTATTTGACATCTATTTTTATTTTACAATCTTATTTTATAAAATTTCTAATGTCTCTATTTATGAATGCTTTAAAATTTGGTGTGTCTCTTTATGAGGAAGGCATATATAAATGATACTCAGACTACCTCTTGTTTTGTTGGGGGGGTTCAGCAATGCTGGCTTTAGGGTGCATTGTTAGAATGCCTTTTGGGTCAGAGGTACTCTTGGATGGACTCAGAGGTAGAAAGACAATCACCAGGGAAGAGGGCAAGGAAAATGGCAGAGTTTATAGCTGGAATTAAAGCCATGAGCCCTTTGTCACTTTTCTTATTTGCTTTTCCTTGGGAGGAGAATGTATGACAATAATTCAGATGGCACATAGGGCAACAGTGAGAATGAGACAGTCCCTAGTTCTCATACATGTCGTGGACCTACCCTCACTTAAATAAGGACCTCAGATGAGATTTCCCCACCAGAGTTTGCCCAGTCCCTGCAGATGGACTATGCTGAGATCCTCACATTCTCTCGCCTCATCTCCCAAAACGGGCTGAAGGTAGCCCTGTCTCTCCAGGTCACAATCAAGGGGCAGAACAAATGCTTTCGATCCACACTAGCATGAAACCCACTCTTTTTTTTCCTTGATAGCTGAATTAATCTGGCAACAACCTAAAAGCCAATACAGTTTGCAAAGATTATCAGTAATTCCTAAAATTTTTGTGATTAATGACTATGTCACAAATCAATTACAATCCTAAACTTGATTACAAAGAAAAGAGATAAGATTTCAAGTTATCGCTCACAAGATTAGTCACCTTTTTCCTTTAGAATCAGAATCTTTTTACGCAAACCTCCTTTCTCTTGCTAACCTCTTCAGTGACCATTTATTAATCACCTCCTATAATATTCAGGCCAGTGCATGGCACAAGGGAGATGCATTTCCTGCCATTAAACCCACCCCTGGGGCTCACAAACTGCAAAACAGACATGGAAACCAAAAAAGTATAGCACCTTAAGAATTACTGGGTTATGTGTATGGAAACGCCATTATGGAAACATAGGATAAGGGTGGTGTTTGGAGTTTCCTGCCTTGTTCTTCTATAGCATTTATATTTGGGGTCGCCCCATCTCAGAAATCAACACGGAAGAACTATATAACTAACTCATTTTAACAACTTTTGAATTCATAAAAATCAGATTGGAGAAGTGTAATAAAGTATTTATTGAAGCAAATCTGTCATTAAACTTACAGAATTTTAGTGCTGGAAGGAACTTTAAAGTTAATTCACTAACATTCTCATTTTACCAGGGTAGGTTCACAGAGTTTAAATGATTTCTCCAAGATTCCACATCTAGTTGTTAGTGGCTCAGGAATGAGAATCCAGGTATCCAAGGGCCTAAAAATATATAGAATTTCTCCTTAAAAAAATCAGTATAGATAAATCCTTCATAGAAATATTTATTAATTAATCTTCTTATTTTATAATGTCTTCTGTTTTAATTTTTTAAACCTCAAAAGTATTATTTGGTCATTGTAAGAAGTAAAAATCCAAATATGTATAATCGATATTAACAGCCCAATGTGCATCCTTCCACACCTTTCTGTATGTGTCCATGTTCTTATATACATTTTATACTATTGCTTTTAATGAGTTAGTTTCCCTGGTAAACTTAAAACATTATTTCCTTGCAGCTTAATTTTTTATAAATTCAATAACCATGCAGAAATGAGTGTACCTATCTTTCTATTAAATCTTAACATTGTACCAAGTGCTCTTGTTATGGATCTTAAGCCCCTTGAGGCCAAGAGTAGTTTATCAGGAGTAAATTCAAAAAACACAAAATATGATAACTGTGGCTTAGACAGGATGGAAGTTGATTTCTCTCCCATTAGAAGTCTAGAGATAGGCAGTCCTGGTGGGCTTCACAGCCATGGTTCTGCAGGGTTGTTGGATCTCAGTGTCAGGGACCAAGGCTTCCTTCTCCTTGCTGCTCTGCTATCCCTTAGGGTGCTTCCTCATAGTCCAAAACAGCTGCCTGAAATCAGTCATTACATCTGCATTCTACACAGCAGGAAGGAAACAACTTTTAACAGGTGCACCTTCCCATAGTTATATAGACTTGCTGAAGCCCTGCATGTCACTTCCGCTTATATCTTATTGGACATACTTAGTCGCAACCTCTGCCAGGGAAGCTGGCAAGGTCTCCTTTGGCTGGATATATTGCTGTCCGAAATGAATTCAGGGTTCTGTTACTAAGTGTCTTAGTCCATCTGGGCTGCTATGGCAAAATATCTTAGACTGGGTAACTTAATGAACAACAGAAATGTATTGCTCACAGTCTGGAGGCTGGGAAGTCCAAGATCAAGGTGCAGGCAGATTCAATGTCTGGTGAGTCTTCTTTCTGGTTCATAGATGGCGCCTTCTGGCTCTGTCCTCACATAGTGGAAGGAGTGAGGGTTTTGCTGGGACCTCTTTTGTAAGGGCACTAATCCCATTGATGAGGGCTCCACCCTCATGACCTACTCACAACAAATGTCCCACTTCCTAAAACCATTACCTTGAGGGTTAAGATTTCAACATATGAGTTTGGGGGAGGGCACAAACATTCAGACCATAGCATTAAGCATGGAAGTTGGATTTAACAGTTCACCATCTCTACTACAGACTTATGAAGTAAGATTTCTGTGTCTAGAAAAACAAAATGTGTGAAAATCATTGCACTATAGCATGTTCCCTATAGGCATCCTTGTTTTATTTTGTTTTTGTTTTTTATTTTCTTTAGAATGGATCACTGACAACCTGCCCAAGGCCCTTCCCTCCTAATGGGGCCATATTTACTTTTTATTTCTCTAATTCACATGTCCTTACTTGTCCTCCTTCGTTATTTCCTTCATGCCTCTAGGTCTCCAAGACTATGGGAGGTGGGTGGGGATAAGCCTGAATTTAGTATTATGTGTCAAGCAATTTATCTTCACTAATTACTGACTGATTGATAGAAGGATTGAAAAGGGAATTGAGAAAAGAATTACAAAACAAATTAAGGATTTCCCACCAGAAGAAAGCTGATGGGCAATTTAATAATCATTATCTACTACCAAACACTAAGCATTCCTGGGAGGTGGGCAGGTGGGAACAATTTGCTGAGAACCCTGTAATGGGAGGAGCCCTGGAATGGGAGGATAGGGAAGGGGGTACAGTGGTAATATCTCACAGTCCCTTCTGTGATTAAGAGACAGCAGCATCCTCACATCAAGGACTATAATAACAGTGATGAGAGCAGTTCTTTCTTACAGCACTGTGAATGAATGATTCGGTCATTGATAAAACCAACATGGAATGTCTAATAGACTCCATGTTGGGCACTGAGGTTACAAAGGTGAACACAGTGTGGTCTTGCTCTTCAAGGATTTCATGGGCTATAAAAGAAAGGCAGCTTCAGACTTGATCTGGTAGGCGATGGTGATCCAACAAAGGTTTTTAATCAGGGCAATATTTTAAAATCAAGTCTGTATTTTATAAATATCTTGATATTATGACACATTATGACAGATAGATTTGAGTGGGGGAAGAGATAGAAATAAAACAGACAAATTAGAAAACTATTGTAAATGTTCTTTCCTATCCCTCTAATGTCAGAAATCTACACATACTCCTTGAATGGCTTTTCAGTGGATGATATTGTCCATCTACCCCTATGATATAATAAATCCAATCATTTACTTTTTAAAAATGTAATAGGATTGTAAAATACTATTTTAGTTTCTTGTCCTTGCCATAAACAGGCCCCCCATTTTTTTTCTTTTCTTTTTTCTTTTTTTCTTTACAAATAATGGAGGCTTATTTTCTGTTTATTATTTTTTTCTACAGATCTCTGTATCACCCTAGAGGCTCTGTAATGGGGAAAGAGGGAATTGAGAGGTTGAAAGTGATGGAGATAATACTACTCCTCTGTTATAGGTAGTGGTTTACCAGGAAGGAGTAATTTGCCATATTGTAAGAAAAATAGGTAAAAGTAGCAAGGAAGCTGGGGATCGGGGTGGACTCTGCTTACCTCCGAGGACTACTCTGGGAGTTGAGAAGAAAAATAAATGTGCTTTGTGGCTTCTGAAGTGCTAAACATATACATGGAATTACTATTACATAGACTGGGGCAGGCTTAGCAGTCAAAAATGAGTAAGTTCAATGTATTTATACATAGGAGCAAGGTTCAAATTGTATATAAATATATATATTCATACACCCTCTTGACCCAGAGGAAATACACTGAAACATTACCTCACAATAGGAGTAGAGGAGGGGGAAGGATTTTAAGGATACGCCTATGTCTAGTAACACGGGAAACATTGGAAAACCTAAGTTTGGGGGAAAAGAAGTCATAGTAACATCACAGGAAATGGATGGCCCAGACCAGAGGCAAGATCCAGGGTTTTGAATTAAAAATGTTAATATAGTAATGAATATTTGTATTCGTCTGTCATAAAAAATTCAGACATTAACAGGTGAGGCCTAAACCTGCTTTGAGGATCACCCTCCATTCTAGCCCTTTGTCCTTGCACTCATACAGGGAGTGTCATCAGTTTGACATGCATCTTTCTGAGAATAAGTACATGGAGAGGAAACTGTCCATTTATAGAAAGAACTGGAAATGAGACCCAGATGTAAGACTGGTGAGAATCATGATGATGCTGTAGAAAGCATGACTTTACACAATGACTATTGTATATTCTTTTATGGTACAGCCAGGTGTGGCCAAAAGAGAAGACAGTTGAGAGGCTAAGGAAAAAAACAAGTTTGTTACACTCACAGGTCCTAGAGATAACAGGCATGGCAGGCCACACAGGGCCACATGGGAAAGATACCAGGGTGCTCAGGTGGCAGAAGACAGGAGGAAGGGAAACTTTAGGCCACTGTTTTTATTGGGGTTTCCTTGGGTAGAGCAAGGCAGCACAGGTGAACAGTTTAGGCTTGACTAGTTTGAATGCTTT